AAAAAATGGTATGTAGTGCTAACTTGACACCATACACCTAGTCGACAGAATTGAGATATTGAAAATGTTATAACGGCATTAATTGTAGCTTTTAGCTTTAAAATTTGTTGTGGAAAGAAAAAAATTTGTAGCTCTCGTTTTTCTGGAAAAAATTGAGTTGACCCTTTTTCGAACAAAATTTAGTATGTAGTGCTAACTTGACACCATGCACCATTGACGACAGAATTGAGATATTGAAAACGTTACAACGGCATTAATTGTAGCTTTTTTGTTGTAAATTTGTTGTGAAAAGAAAAAAAAATTGTAGCTAGGTGTCAAGTTAGCACTACATACCATTTTTTCTTAAAAAACGAGAGCTACAAATTTTTTCTTTCCACAACAAATTTTAAAGCTAAAAGCTACAATTAATGCCGTTATAACATTTTCAATATCTCAATTCTGTCGACTAGGTGTATGGTGTCAAGTTAGCACTACATACCATTTTTTCTTAAAAAACGAGAGCTACAAATTTTTTCTTTCCACAACAAATTTACAACAAAAACACTACAATTAATGCCGTAGTTAGCTTTTCCAATTTCGAAAAGTGTAGTGCTAACTTGACACACGTTTTTATTTTTATTTATATGTACTATAACTAACTACTAATTTAAATAGAAAAATATATTTGTTATATTTCATTTAATTTTTAGGATCATATTTAATTTTTTTTTATTTTACTTTTTTGTCTTTTTTTAATTGAATTTTCTTTATTAGATTTTGTTTAAAAAAGATATATTTTTTTAAGCATTTATTTTTTTATTTTTAAGTAGTTAGGGTAGCCAGACTCCGAGATTGGAAAATAACACATTCTTTTGTAACTTTAGTCGGTTTTTATTAACATTTCTTAACAATAATTTAACTCAACAAACAATTTTTTAACACTGGATGGTCTTTGTGAAAATCTCAAGGAGGTACCTAAAAACATGAATATAGTAAAATTTAGTATGCCTAATTTTTCGTCTCAATGATAAATATAAAATTTTAAGTCGGATTATACGCAAAATTTTCAATGCAAAAGGCACAACAAAGCAAGTAACTTTTCTAGATAAACACAGATTACGTTAAAAATAATTTGATAAAATACATATCTAGTTGTGTATGTACATATGTACATATCGCTAGCTTAGAGTGAAAAGTCCATTTTTTCCAATTTTACAGCAGATGAAAATAACTTCTTTTAAGAATTTTCTTCAATTATTTTGCTAGACTTTTCCATTCTGCATGTTTAAAGCAAAGCAAAACCCCTACGAGGAGCGTTCGATATTAGTTGAAAGATTTCGCTTGGACTTTGCAAATGTCCATTTCACTAAATTTCAGTGAAGTGAGCTTAAGTTCAAGAATTTGTACTGAAAATCTAGCTTAAGCGCACTTTTTATGCCTGAGACCCATAATAAAACTATGGCAGGTGTCTGAGGCGGCAGACATCTGAATTGAGCAGCTACATGAAATCTTTAAAGTAAAAATACTAGGCGGTGATAAGAGTCCCGATAGCTCACCAAAGAAAGCCAAGGCGAGTCTGTCCGCCAACTGGGCCACCGCGACATGCTCTTCCACCAAGACAATGTACGGCGCCAAAGACGCCTTTGACTATTTATTTTTTTCCAAATCAGAAGAAGTAGTTCGAGGTAAAATATTTGTTTCATCACTGAAACAAATGCCTGTTTTGAGAGCCTTGAGAAACCTATTATATGCAAGAAATAAAATAATTTAGAACAACGTTGAAATCTGTAAATGTATCAACAGAAAAGGAGACTATGTTGAGAAGAATTTATTTCATAATTTTTGTTATTAGGTGGCTGCTTTATTAATTGTAACTTTTATTTTGTAATTTTTTTGTGAAAAAAAATTTAGCGTTTGCTTTTGCGGAAAAAATCGAGTTGGCCGTATAGTATGTAGTGCTAAGTTAATATCATGTACCATTATCGATGAAACTAAGATTTGAAAATTTTTTTTCTACAGTAAATTTGTAAAAAAAAGCTACATTTAATGCCGCAAGTAACGTTTTCAATTTCTTTCGAAAGTTATGATTCTGATATATTAAGCTGCTTCCAGAAAAACTAGGGCAAAAGACTAATTCCGGCTGATTAAACTCATTTCACTGCAGTTGAAGTAGCCTCCTCAAAAATTTGTATCTAAAGTGGCACTTTAAAGTTCGCTTAATAATCCTGGAGTCTTTGCTCGGGCTGCCACAGAATGTCACGCTTGTTGTTACAATTTACTTGCAACTAAATATTACACAAACGATTCATGGTGAACACAGAGCACTTAACATTTTGACTTAACACCTCCCTGAGGTATGATAAAAGGAAATCTATGTAAAGGAGACGAACTAAGTCAATGCATACATTTTTAGATATACTTACATATATACATAGATAAATATGTAGTGTGTATGAATGTATGCATCTAGAATCTAGATTCTAGATGAAATTGCATAGTTTGAAGTATAAAGACTTCCAAGGAGTATGTTCCAACGTGCATAGATTTATTTGTCCGTATGTATGCATATTAGGGTGCCTCTCAAAAAATGAACAGGGTTTTCACCGGAATTAGAAAATTCATTATATTTTAAGTCTTCCGAAAAAACTAAGTATGTATTTTGGAAAAATATTAAGTTAGCGTGAGCTGGAGTGATTTGAAAATACCTCCAAAATCGATTTTTTCACATGTAAAAAATAAGTTTTTTAAAAATTTTATTCCCAAAAAATCACCTCAGATGTTAATAGAGTTTAAGCTGAGGCCAGTTTTTGAAAAAAAAAATTAAAACTATTTTTGTCAAAAAAAAAAAAAAAATTTTAATTTTGGAGGTATTGCATTTTTGCAAAATATTTGACAGAAGGGTTAAAATATAACAAATGATATAATTCCGATGGAAAAAAGTGCCAATTTTTGTGTATGGATAGTGGTGCACCCTATTGTGTCAAATATAATAAAATAAGAAATATCACAGGCTATAAAGGTAAGCACAAGCGCATGCCTTGAATAAATATTACTTGCACCGATTTCTGATGACTTAATACCACCTACCTAAACAACAAAAACACAACAAGTTAAGCACCAACAATTAAGTAGTGAACTTTTTGGGCCACACTTTATACTCCAAAATTTTTGGTAATCAAATGAGAGGGCTTAACAAAAGTTCAACTACACTAATTGTGCTGCATTCGCTGGTGGCAAAAGCGAAGCGCTTCAGCCAACAACACCTACTATAAACAAAAAAAAATATATTACAATAATTGTAACAAAAACAAAAGCAGCGATAAACAACACAGCTACTCAGCGAAGAACTGAAAAGTCGCCGTTAAGCCAGCAAATGATGAGCCATTGACATCGACGGTTTTTGAAGGGGAGGGCGAGTGCAAACAAACAAAAAGTACATAAATAATAAATCTCGCCTGCGTCTACAAACGTGCGGCAACAAATATATCAAATAGCTATAAATATCAGTGACAAAAATAATAGATATGTATTAAGGTACATACACTGGCGGCAGAAATAATAGACTCGTCGTACTTTGAAGAGTTTTGGCTATATTTCTTTAGTTTAATTTATGTTTAATATTTTTCATAAAAGCATGGCTAGTTATACAACAAACACCGTATAAATTCACTTTTCAAACTTTGTATAAAATATATAAAAATTCGACAACTTTTCGCCAAAATTTCAAACCTTTTATTCAGAATTTTTAGAAACATTTTTAGTATGCAGTTTTGTAGCCCATTCAATTTTAGTACAATAAAGTGCGAGTTTTAAGTGATGGGAAAATACCGTTGATTTTTGACAATTTTTTTTTGTTGACGTTACTAGGCATTCTCTTCCATATAAAAAAAAAAATTGTCAAGCACACTTTGTATGGGAAAAAATGCGTGAAATTCTGGAAAAAAATTTTGAAATTTTGGTGAAAATTTGGCGAATTTTTATAATTTTCATACAAAGTTTGAAAAGTGAATTTATATGGTGTTTGTTGTATAACTAGCAAGGCTTTTCTAAAAAATATGAAACATAAAATAAACTAAATAAATATAGCCGCGACTCTTCAAAGTAAGGCGAGTCTATTACACCTGCCGCCACTGTACATAGATATCTAAATATTCGTTTGTCTGGCTGTAGGCCTGATCCAATGTGCAGCCAACTGTGTGCGCCCGACGACTGCTGATAGCACTCCAAAAAAAAAAAAAAAAAAAACCTAAAAAGAAGAAAGAAATTAAGCAAAATTCATTCAAATGAAATCTGTCTATCTTCGAAAGATAGCAGCGCGTCAACATCGCAGCAACAGCCACGCCTACCTTCCATCAGAGTGATGTGCGTACACGCGCTCAGCGACAATTTTAGTAATTTGCCTCAGCCACAGACAGCCGTGGCCGCAGCCGCAGCCGCACCGGAAAATGCGTTGTAAAAATTTGATGTTTAGGCAAGTAAAGTGCGTGCCACAACAAGCTTGGCTGCCATTTGGTTGGGCAATGTTGCAAGTAGCAGCTAAAAACTAATGCTTCATTTTTATTTTTGGCTGCTTGATTTTGCTGGCTACAGATTTTTTTCGAAATTTTTTGCTGTGTTTTCTGTGATTTTCTAATTTCTTTCCTGTTTTTCCTTTCTTTTTGCTTTATTTTGTGTGTGTGTGTGTTTTTTTTTTGTTCTGTCAAAAACTTACCCTTAAGCGCTGCAACAAACGTCTGTGATCCAGTTAAGCCGCTGCCGCTGTCGCCAGCCATTAGTAACAACAACAACAGCATCCCGCCACGCAACAGCAATGACGCAGCATTTGTGCGTATTTTTAGCTTTGCCGTTGCCGTTGCCGTTGCCGTTGTCGCTGGTGTGGTGGTGGTGGTGGTGGCCGTTGTGGCGACAATTGGCGGCTGCTTCCTCTGCTGCCTGCTGCTCCTCCCGCTCTGCTCCATAACGGCCATATGTGTGCCGGCGGCGCTTTGTTGCATTTTTTTTTTCTTTAAATTTTCAATTGAAAATGCAAGCTAAATAGTTTATTGCGAAGTTTTAGGAATAAAATCTTTTCTTCTCCCTCACTTATTTTAATCCAGTATCTATCGGTTTTAATACATACATAAATAATTTATTTATTTTTTCACTTGGCTGTCGGCCAGCTGCACTCACTTTCTCACCGAAAGAACAAAACACTTGCTCGTTGTCAATAAATTTTTTTGTTTCTTTTAACTTTTGCCCTTCTCACTTGGCATTACTGTGAATGTCGGGGTTTAGTATTTCATCACCAGCTGCCGTTTGGCTTGTTGCAAGCGTAGCTTGGCGTACACTATGCAACGCACAGTGTTCTTGTTTCACTGGGTTTTTACTTGTTTTGTTTATTGTATTATTTTTATAGAAAGTTTGAACACAATTTTTGTGGCACTCAAAAAAAATATAGTTTTCTGTTCACTTTTGGTGGTATTAAGTGGGCTATATATGTATTTTTTAGAGTTTCACACTGCGCCGATTTTGCAGCTAATCTATGAAGATTGCTTTGGTCAAAAGCTTCACTGGTAATAGTTGTTAATCTGCAAAAATAAATTAAAATTTTCATTGGAAAATATTCAAAAAAGATTAGGAAAATTTGTCATGTCGCTAGCTTAGAGCGAAAAGTTGTTAAGTCCGCTTTTTCTAAAAAAAAAAACTGTATATTGATGCAAGAAGCGAAAACAATTAAAAATTCATTGTTTTATAAAAGACCAAACAACTATTTTATTTTATGATGAAATTCGATTCGTTTGGAGTTGTTTCAGCTTAGGGTATGCGAAAACTTGTATTAAAATTTTACCAGACTAGTGCTTGAAGAAATTGAGCTGGAATGGTTTTTATTCACTCCCGTGAGATTTGAAAAATTGGACTTAGCACTCTAAGCAAGCGATATATTTTTCAGCTTCCTTAATAATTTCTGATATTTGATAAGTGCACTTTTTTTTAAATCGCGCATGGAATTTTGTCATTTCATTTAGGGGATAATTGTTTATGATTTGTAGCCATATACATGTTTTTTTTATTTCTTAAATTTATTTTATTAAATTTTATAGAACGAAAAACTTCGCAAATGGAGAATAAAAAATGATTCGGTTAAAAAGGCCCAATTTAGGATTAATGATGTTTATATTTTATTTATCTCCCCTTTTTATACAATTTTTCTGCAAGCATAAATATTTTTACTCGTAAACTAAATAAAAATATTAAATACAAAATGGAAAGATATGGTTATGGTTATGTAAGCGCCTGAACACCTGGCCCATTGCACCGCGACCAAATTTGATCCAAGGTAAAGAAAGTTAAGAATTCGGTTAAAAAGTAATTTTTTTACCGAAGATTTTAAATGTTTTTGGTTATAAAAATTGAAAAAAAATTAAAGTTTATTAATAGTAGGATTATGTTTATTATTTTATATGTTTTGAAATTTTTTTATTCAACAAAAATATCATATAAAAAAATTTCATTGAAAAAAACCTAAAAGCGGAAACTAAAAAAAAAGTATCGGCTAAGTTTCGGCTTAATTTGCCTAAGTTGTGATGATTTGTTTTTATATTTCCCCTTTTGACAATCTTTTTTTTTTTGCAAAAATATTTTTATTTTAATTTTTTCAAGTAAACTAATTAAAAATATATATGAAACAAAAAAAGATAATAATTCGTTTGAAAACGTAAGGGTTATGATCTTTGTGATAAGAATCAAATTTATTGTTATTTTATGATTTTATTTTTTTATCAAGAAATACCGTTATTTTCAGATTTAATATTTTCGATCACAAAATACATAAATCGCACATAGAAACGCTTTCACGATCATAACGGTTCAAAATTACAAACAAAAAATTCAAATTAACAATATACAAATAAAAAAAATTGAACTTTACCGCAAAACTGAAACACACAAATTTAACGATTGGTCTTGATAAGTAAAATTAAAAAAAATAACGACTTTTATATCATCTAAAAATAAAAGTTTTAATATTTAACTGCTATTTTCGGTGCCTGGTTAAGAAGTCCTTAAGTATTTTTAACAAAGCAGTTTAAATGTTTGTTGTTTATATGTATTTATTTTATTTTTCTTAAAGGAATTTTGGTTTGAGAAAAAACAAAAAGGTGCTTCCCAAAAACAAATAAATCAAATAAAAAGAAAAACATAAAATAAAAAACCTTTAACAAAAATTTGCTTTCTGAATAACGTTTTGTATGTAGTTTCTTTACTTTTTGTCTGATTGGAAACACTATAGAAAATGAAATTCCCAATCTTTAACCACATAGAGACATAACTATTATAACAGAAAAGAATAAAAGTCAATCAATAATCGTTATAATAAGATAAATATTTTTCGAGTCATCTATTATTATTATTCAAGGAATTTTATTATGAAAGTCCTTTCATAATAATTATCAGAGAGATAAATATTTTTAAGTCTTCAAAGACTTTTATTTTAAGATTATAAAAGTCTTTTGATAATAATTATGAGCGCGAAAAATGTTTTTAAGTCTTAAAAGACGAGACTTAGTTCAGGAGCATTTCAGGACTAGTTGCGGACAAGTTCGGGGCAAGGTAGGGCCCAGTTCGGGACTAGTTGGGGGGTAGCTTATGCCCAGTTAGGGCTTAGTTTGGGACCCGTTCGGGACTATATATGAAATTTTTTCGAACTCATAATTATTACCAAAATACTTTGATAATATAAGTCTCAAAATAAAAGTCTTTGAAGACTTCAAAAAATTTATCTCGCTGATAACACTATGCGACAGTCAAAATCGGGATGGGATGAAACCAACGGGAAATGGTATATCGGTCAAAAACAAGTTATACGTGGCCCGGCGTTTCGCTGGGTCAAGTCTAGGAATCGAGATATATCGATTTGAAGTTAGTAACTATCATATAGGGGAAATTGTCACCTTTGGTGGTCTTTTTTTTGACATAACTCGAGAACCACTAGTCCGATTTTGCTCAAACAAATTTAAAAAAATTAAAAATTACAATTCCTTTAATCTGCTCATATAACGTTTTTCTATATAATCAACAGTTTTGCCGGTAAAAATAAATGTATAAAGAAAAAAAATATTTTTTGCCTAAAATATTAAATTTTTTTATTTTTTAAATTCATATAAAATCCAAAACGGAAAAAAGGCAAGTCGTATTACTTTCACGCAAAGTCACATAACCTTTAAGCAAAATGAGAGATAGATCATGAAAATCGTCCATCGAATCCATCCATCCATCGAATTTAAAAAATAAAAAAATTTAATATTTTAGGCCAAAAATATTTTTTTTCTTCATACATTTATTTTTACCGGCAAAACTGTTGATTATATAGAAAAACGGGGAAAATTTTAGTTTGGCATCCCCCGCGTACAAAAAAAAGGTGGCTATGGGGGGGTAGGCGGAGTTTTCCTGATTGCAAATATATATACTTTTAGCCGCAGGAGGCTTATAGTTTTTAAGTTATTTGTTGTTAAAGTTTGTAAATTGAACTAACCTCTCGCCGCTATTTCACACAATAAACACTATATTTATGTAGACGCTTTGGCAAAATAGTTGCATTAAAACCCCGCACAATGAAATGTAAACATACTTTTTACATTTATGATGTATTTTTAGTAAATTAAGTAAGTTTTAATAATTATCACGCACTTATATATGTATACGCACATTGTGAATACAGAACCGTTGATTCAACCATGGTTTCACACTGACATTAGAAGAGTGCAGCCACATCTAAGAAAATAACAATAAAAGAGAATAGTTTTTATCGCACCCATTTTCCTGCTCAGCGTTGAATTAGTAGTAAAGGAGGGTATGGGGTTAAATACCCCCATTAAAAATAAACTGACAAGCGCCGCAGGCGAAAATTTTTAATAAAAAATCGCGCGATTTTTTATTAAAAACTTTCATTATTTATCAAGTATTGATTTTTATGGAAAAAGCGCCGCAGGCGAAAATTTGTAATAAAAAATCGCGCGATTTTTTATTAAAAATTTTTATTATTTATCGAAGTATTGCTTTTTATTGAAAAAGCGCTGCAGGCGTAAATTTTTAATAAAAAATCGCGCGGTTTTTTATTAAAAATTTTCATTATTTATCGAAGTACTGATTTTTATGGAAAAAGCGCCGCAGGCGAAAATTTTTAATAAAAAATCGCGCGATTTTTTATTAAAAATTTTCATTATTTATCAAATTAACGATGTACGTTTTCTACATTTGTGTTATTTGAACTACAATAACACCAGTAAATATTATTTCCACCCGAAAAAAATAATACCGTTATGATCAGGAGTAAAACCCCTATCGATCCTAATATTATTATTTTTAATAAGAGCAATATATGTACACTTATACTTCCTAATTATACGCACTTATTTGTGTATTTTTTTAACGTATGGTAGCATACATTTTGTGTTACTGTCAGCCATTGTTATTTCTGCTTGTTTGTGAAATGTGCAAACGTTTGTGAAGACATTTATAAACGCGTTTTACTTAATTAATTAATTAAGAATTGTATATTAAAGAGGAAATCGCAGGCCGGGGTTTTAATGCAACTATTTTGCCGAAGTGTGCACATAAATAAAGTGTTTATTGTGTGAAATAGCGCCGAGAGGTTAGTTCAATTTACAAACTTTAACAACAAATAACTTAAAAACTAGAAGCCTGCTGCGGGTAAAAGTATATATATTTGCAATCAGGAGAACTCCCTCTATCGTTCCATAGCTACCTTAATGCGGAACTCCGGGGATGCCAAACTAAATTGCAGCCGAAAAACGTTATATGAACAGATTAAAGGAATTGTAATTTTTAATTTTTTTTAAATTTGTTTGAGCAAAATCGGACTAG